GATGGAATTCCATATTGTATCTCAAATATTCCAAAGATTTATTTTTTAAAACACCTTCACCAAAGGAATAATTGCGACAGATCTTGGGCTGAAACTGTTTAGATTTTTCCTTATAAATCTTTTCAGCAACGTCAAACAAGGCCTTCTCTTTTGGCGTTAACACATCTAATGTGAGCAAATGACATATGTATTTCATTTCCTCCGGAGTTATGGAATATCTTTTATTTCTCGATTTTTCATCCACTGACATAAATTTGAAAGAGAAAAAAGAAACACGTCGTCATTGCACGAAAAAATTACACCAAGACATCGCATTCTGAGAAGAGCATACCTAACGTTTTTAGTTTTATTATTTATAATAATAGATTCGCCACAGTATCATGTACTGCATGTAAACTGAACAAAACTACACAAAATTCTATACGTACGTTTAGCAGCGTCAAATATATCTTCTTTCCATTTCTGTAATGTTGTTGGATCACACTCAAGTTTCTCTGACATGCTTTCTAATTCTTTCTGCATGATGGCGGTTTTATCTTTAGCCTAGAACCATGCATATAAAAGTACAGAACACATTATTATTTTTCCAAGAGAAGATTATACATTTCAGTACTCCCCTTTCCGTGCATGGGAAATTTGCATTGCATCTACATATTTTTCAATCCTCCACGCTTTAAATTTCTACCCACACCTTTTTTTTTAATAAATTTGTTTCTGTCTTATTTTTTGACGAAAACTACCGAAACGGATTTGGCAAAGTATTTGTAGCTATGTTATGTGACAAGGGGGGATTTCGTTTTAAACTATTCGGCATATTTGCTTACACTTTTTAGGCTAAGCCAATCAGAATGCCTAAATTTTTAATACATCATGTAAAATGATGATTATTCTGATTGGGTTACTGAAAATGTAAACAAACTTACTGATTGGTCTAAAACGAAATTTCCCTTGTTATGGTTTCCCTTGTTATGGTATAGTTACTATTACTATTAGGTAAAAAATAGAAAAATTAATAACTTTTGTATATCTTTTCGCAAGAATACTTGACAGTTTGGTTATTTTTCTTTTATTCCACTCCAGTGCATGTTCAGTCAGCAATTCCTCTCGTCCTATGTATGCATACATCAGAATTAAACGTTTAACTGGTTTGATAATTTTATTGCACATGCTTACCTTCAGGTAACATATGCTTGGTAGTGCACCCTAACCGCGAGAAATGACTGTTAATCTGTTCTACTTCCTCTCCTGTTGTTGCAGAAGCGCCATCTTGCCATCGCCCTCCCCAAATAACCTGCAAAAAAGATTACACAATGGACACTGCACTTGACTGCACACTTGCCACGTACGAAATATAATAAGCACAAGGAAATTTACCTGGCAATACCAAGCATGTGCTTTGGCATGCATTACGGAAAGAGCAGGTTTCATCTTTTGAGATGTGGTTACATCATTTTTACACAGCCAAGGCCAATACTTGCAGATGACATCATACCAGAAGAATTGTGTTGTACGACGAAGGTAATATTCCTTTTGCATATAATGTGCATAGCCATACACTTCTCCGTGCTTCATGCTAACTGCATGCTGGGCAACACTGTGACGACAGCCAGCAATTTCTAGCCCAGTTTCATCAACAATTTTCTTTTTCTTCAAAGTATTTCCAGCAGCATGCCAAATAGAATCGCCACACTTAGAATCATCTGTGACCTAGGGTAAAGTATAGCCGAATTGAAACAGCTCGATTTTAGATTATTTTTATACGTACAGTAGATCCACTTGGTATAAAAATAATCTAAATATTTGTTACAAATCATAGCATTACGGTCAGAAACTTCCCACACCAAATGTCACACATTGATATTTAATGGGACTATTGTTCTATAATTGTTTTGAGGTAAACGAAAATTCGTATTGTTTGAGAAGACAAATTGTAACAATACCTTTTCCTTTCCTTTTTTGTAAATTTTACAGAGATGATGTTGAACTTTTTCATTTGAAGCAATAAAAGCATCTCCATAGTAGCAATCTCTTTTCCTGCTAAATAATTTCAATTTATCCTCTTTAAAACATACATATGATGAAATAACTTTGAAACTCTTTCTAGGTGATATACAAGACGCATTTCAGTTGTATATGAGCTGACGATTTCCCTCCCAAGCTAGTGCATTCCTGCAATGCATCGTCTGTGATTCAGTGTACAAAATGTACTTACATCCCAGCAGATTGTACCGATAAAGTTTCATGTTACCATCCATGTGAACGGAGTGTTGCTGCTGTTCACATGCAGGGCACTCCATCCAGTTAATATGCCGTAGTTTGTTCAATTCATATTGGCAATATTTCCATTCACGAAAAGAGCTACCAAATGTTTTGCTGTTAATTGTTCCATCTATATAAAAGATAGAGAAAGATACATCAAACTAATATCTGTACAACTATTTAACTACTGAGGCAATTAGCAAACATAATCATAAAAGAACAGGATTCCATTTTTTGCATGAAGCGATACATTGAAGTTGATACTTAGAAGTTGGTTTAAACGTACCCGCCCTTTTTGTATCGAAAACATTTCTAGTGATTTCACAAAACTATTTTGAGAAATTCCAGGAACAATCTTCTGTAAATTATCCCAGAAATGAAAGAGATCTTGGTGAAATACATATGTCATGTCACGAATAGTTCCAGGCCAAAACCCCAGCTGTATTAAAACATGGGGACTTGTTGATGAAATAACATTGTCACATTGTTTACATTCATATTTTGTGTGACTAATGTCGAATCTACCTGAAAGATAATAATAAATATTTAACCAATTAGCACAAAATATAAGTTTTGAGTTCCATGATAGAGATCAACATTTGGCCTATAAAGCCTATCTGAATAGCATCATCTGGTTGAATCTTGCAGGAGCTAGGTTCAGCCTACATAATGTATCATTTATAGCTACAGTATAAAACTATAGAATCTATTTCAGAAAGACAATGTTTTTGTGAATAAAAAAGACAACTAAAATAGCATACCTTTCAATGTTACAGCAATGCAACCCATACCCTTCTCATCATATAAAATATTGCAAGGAAATAGGCATGTGGGACAAATAACATCACCAAATGGAAGGGACCGTTCTAAAAAATACATAGACAATTCATATATTTTCAGAAACTGTTTGAAGAACCCTCTAAAAATGGCAGAACTTTCCTACCAAGGGAAAACATTATCTCACACCTAGAGTTTCACAAAGATGCTGAGATAATACAAAGATAATACTGACTGGTCAATTTTTTTTACAAATTTCATGTGACAAATATGTTTCTGTGTTTCTTTATTTGAAAAAGACCTAATAAAATTTTTTATGAGAAAATTTGCCAATGAATATTTACTCATGTAAAATGAACTTTAGGTTTGACATAAATGCTAAATAGATCATGCTAAATTTCATATTTAAAGAGCATCTTGAGAGTATCACGGTCACAATGCACCTTTTGACACAAGGTATAAGTTACATCTTTTTAGCCATGCTATAATATTTACCAACAGTAATCCATTCCAGTTTGCTGTTAATTGAGGCTGTTGGAGGAATAGGTTCATGAAAACCATTCAAAATTGCATCTCGATCATGAAATGGATGGTTCTTATGGTTCTCCTCATCACAATCCCCACAGACATATCTATGTGAAATGCAGTCTTGACATCCAATAACTGCCATGGCATCTTTACAGCTTTCGCATAACAATTCATCAAAAATGCCAATGGAAAATTTAGTTTGCAGCAAAACTTCGATTAAACTACTTCTGACTTCCTCCCAGCTTTCATAAAGGGAATTTTGTCTTTCATGCCAGGTTCGTTTCTTTTGCTGACCACCACATTTCCAGTTACATAATAATCCTTTTGCTTCTTCAAGGATATCATTCATTGTCACATCTAAACAAAATCGATGATACTGCTTTAAAAATGAGCTGCTAGGTAGAATGCCACAAAATCATTGTACACCATATTACACCATTAAGTTTAATATACATTCGATAAACCAAGTTTTGTAAAGTAGCAGGGTCTTTAAATTCCAATATATAAATGCATAAACAGTATCCATATTGGAAAGTTTGCAATATGTGTGAATGATGAGTCACAATCTTCCCTGCACACAGCCAATCTAGCAATGTGGCAGCATGTGTATAATGTCTAGTCAGTAGTCACAGAGGACACAAAGCTATACGAACGTTGTTTAGATAATAAATATTGACTTTTAGCACATCATATTTTACAATAGCGGTTCAAAATGTCAACAAAGCGGATTAAAAACTTCACAGCATTTTTAGCTGTTGTAATTGTACATATTTATATTAGATCCATACCCTCTACAGCGTTTGTCGTTACATCCATATCTGATTCACGATCCAATAAACTTACTTCTGGTGGTTCTTGTTCTACGTAAAAAGTGACAAAATAATAATCATCCGAATGATGGGACCTATCTGGCGTAGGTTCTGTGTAAAATGTTACAAACAGAAGCATACCTTGGAAAATATTATCGCTGTGTTCCTCTAAGTTTTTTGATCTTGAACTAGAGGCGGTATCATCGCGATTATAATACTTTGGATTGTAAGTATTTTTGCAACTCCGTTGGCCAGTTTTTGGATCCGTGCTATACTCATAATGAATAGGCTTTCTTCTCTTTTTTCGCTTTTCTAAAATATCATTACCTTGCCTAATAAGACAATCCATGGAAGGGAGTTTCTTCTTGCGAGCATTGGCAGCCCTTTCAAAATTCTCCGCCATTGTGAAAGATTTGAGTTGGTTTTGACCCAGTTTCTTTCCGTTTCATAATGCTCGGCCACGCGTCGCGAAATTATTGTTTTAGTAATTTCGGATGTGTTTAAGAATTTATTGATATAATAAATTTAGAAGTGGAGCTCATGTTGAAATAATTGCATGGAAAGTGTGTACTTGCATAAAACAGATAGCTACATCGTACTATGTTCATATATTCGTCCTAGCCCAGATTTTGTACATTATTTATTTAAAATCATGCCCGCTGGCAATATTGACACTTCAAAAAAAAAACAGAACAAATAATATATTAAATTAGGACTTACTTAAATTATTATTGCTCGGATAAAAATATTAATTTCGCTAATCCACACGTTGACGTTGTGCACGTGTTGCAAAAGGGTATTTTGCATAGTTATAAAAATAAAACCTTATAGAGAAAAGAACGGCTATTACGAACCATTTAAGATGATCACGAGTTGAAACGTAACTATATTAGACTACCAGGTGATGTGAAATGGCGGGAAAGGACTCGGACTAGTTGTCAAATAAAATTGTTCTCGGGTGAAACAACTTAAATGCTGCAGAGTGGATTTTTATATTCCGACAACCTTTCTGAACCCTGATTGGCGAAAATATGAGCGCGGGATCACCTGGTAATTTGTTCCTAGAATTGCACATTCGATGATTATTACGCTCTGGGATCGGTTGTTCAAAAGCCGGTTAGCTTAACTCTGAGTTAAAGCAAATCTTAACATCGATTTTTCAAGCCGCTTATTTACAAAGTTGAATATCTTTTTTCACAAATATTTTCTGGACCGATATAGAAGTCATATTTTGTGCAGTTTCGAAACGAAGAGTGGTTCAGAAGTACATAAACGAAAACACTGGATTAAAATTTAACCCAGGGTTAGCGCTAACCTAGCTTTGAAGTTTGAACAACTGGCCCCTGCAATCTACGTGGGATGATATTATTTAATACATCGAAAACGGCATTAGAATTGCTATTTGCAATTTTTTTAAGGTGTAAAAAGTATTTTGTCACATTATTGACATTATTGACATGTTGTTTTCATCGTGTGATAAACATGAGCAGTTGTTCAGAAGTCAGATTTTAAACGTAATCATCTAATACAATCTTGCGTCGTGATTTTCAGTGACTGAAGGCCTTTATCCATACACTCATCGCAAAACCCTAGTGCTCACATGTCATATAATTGCACTACTACAATTTTGCGTTGTTCAATCCTGTTTTAACAAAAATAGTGTCATATAATTGCCGTTGGAGCCTTGGAGGACTGCTGCCATGTGCACAACAAATCTATATCAGTGTTCAGTAAGATGCCAGCTGATATTAATGTAGACAAAATAATAACGTGGTACGAGCCGAATTCTAACCCTGGTGACCCAAAGTCTATCACCTTCCGTGCAGATATATATATATATATATATATATATATATATATATATATATATATATATATATATATATATATATTTATATATATTCGTAAAATAAAGAGTCGCCATCTCAGCACACCAACGTTTTGGCGCGGTCCCGGATAACTATTGCATGGTTTATGCTCCTCGAGGCTGTTGTTTCTCATGGAAAAAGCCTTCATAATCAGGCAGGAACTGCATAGCTGGAACGAAAACTATGGAGGAAATTCTTGACTTTCATGATGTGAATGTTCACTTGTCTGCGTTAGAGCATCAAGAATTAATGACGATGTCTGAGACTCTTGAGATTGAAGTTCTTCATCGTCTTCTTCGATGACTTCGGAATCTTCGAGTGTTTCAATACGAAGTTCAGATTTACCTTCCACGAAGAATTTCGTAATAGTTTTCTGAAATGAAATGAACAAATTCATGGAATCAGTTTAGGAGTTCCTCAAGAAAGATCTGAATAGTATTATTACGCTAAAACGAGATGTTCATGCAGGTTTTCGACTGCCAAAATTTCAAAATCATTTGCTTTTTTCTAAATCTTGACTGAATAAACCTCCTTTTTGTGTACCTTGTAAAAAGTCAACTAGACAAGTGAAAACAATGACTTTGAAATTCAGCATAAAAAATCTGGTTAGCCTCGCGCAACTTATTTTGACAAGTCTATATATAGATTAGATCACGTATCGCGTTTTGTGCTTTCTGATTGAATGCTATACTCGTAGGCTGGCAATGATAACCTACTATGGCATTGATTTGACTAAAATTATAATCTGAAAGAAGAATTTTCGGAACAGAAAGCCGTCAGTTCGCCCCAGTACACTGTCCAGTAACTTTTCTTACAACGGTAATTCTTGTTTTTACTACAAAACACCATCAAATCACTTGCCCTCGATATCTACGGGGAATACTCAACTCGGCCTCGTTTCAAAATCAGACCACAATAATCATGCACGCATTCACTGGACGAATTGTATCACAGAATTCTGATATCATTCCTATAATGTCTTATTGTATATAAACTTTTACAAACAGTTACATAAAAAGTCTCCGCTGTGATGTAAAGTTTGCGGATAAAACGTCCTCCTGGTTTGGTCGGATTGACTGAGCAGAAACAGACTTTTTACGTTTATATATTTTTGTGAGCAAACCTGATTTTGGACTCCTTTCTTTCCTTGAACCATATACGCGAATTTTGTGACGGTTCGTAGTATAAGATCCTTGACCTATATACATCGACAAAACTACAATTAGCTTCGCGGTGGTGAAAACTAATTTGTCATAATTGTCATAATGATGAAATGTTTCGTACCTTAGAACGACTCATGAACATCGCTCTTGGATCTTTGATATGGCTGTGAAGTGAGGTTAGCATCATTTTAATCTTCTCAACGATAACCTGAAATACGTGAAGATGAGGTAAGCATCTCAAGGAATTAACTCTAAAAAGGCAACTGCAGGGGGCTGCATGGTTGTTTAAATCCGTTACTCTCTATTTTAATGTCCTGAAATCACTCAGTTTTGTCCAAGCGCCTCATGACAGGACGGATTCGGGGTACTGAGTAATAATAAATTTCACAGTCAAATTTCCAATTCAAAATACCTCAATACCAACGCTATTGGTTATTCATTTCTAAAGAATATTTTGACATAAAAATTTACCGATATGGTTGCAAGTTAGAGTGCTAGAGTTAGAGTGCTGTAGTGCTTTATTCTCACTTACACTGGATCAGCCACTGATCTTAGGTCAGCTGGACAAGCTACATATATGTTTTTCCTCAAGTTTGTATTAACAAACCTTTTCCTGGGGTACAAGGCTTTCTGCTCCAACGACAGCATCGAGCAGTTCGATCATTGTGTAAAGCTCATAATAATCAGTGCTGTCATTCACATCTATTTCTTGGAGTAATACATTAACTTTTGTGAACATCTAATAAAAATATTTAAAAACAAACAAACTTAATCTAAGAAAAACTACAGCAAAAGCAACCTGATTGGTTAATAGCCGTGCAGGATTGCCTTCGCGCGTGCATAGCATTTTAAATAGTTTTAAACCGTTGTTTTACTGCAGTTATTTTTATAAAATACAATTGCCAAATGGTTGTTTTGCATTCCCACTTCTTGGGTCTTTGATATCTAAGTCAATATCATGACGTCATTTAACAATGACGTCATTAACGGATGTAACTTTTTTTTCCCGTTATGTGATAGAGTTCATGAAAATAAGTTTCACACATAGCTATCAGCCAATCAAGAATTGAATTATAATAAAAGGCTTATACTAAACATTAAAATCTGCTCAATTATTTATAAAGCTTTTTTGTGTCTGGTTGCATGTGAACTGGAAATCAAGTGACCTCTATATTTGTTCAGTAGGCAGATGCACTATCCAGTCTTTGCGGATCAGTGCTTTGCGGTGCATTCGCTTCAGCAGTCAGGAATACAAATATCCAAGGAGAAAGTAAGAGTGCGGCATGTACCTGATGTGTATTGGTTATTTGCTGATCTTTTTTCAAATCGTTGTCCGATATTATGAACGGATTGATATCAGTCATAGTGTTGTGTGAAAGCGAAGCCAAAATTTGAAGTGCGGCCAATCTTTTAACATCATGTCCTCTATTTGAGTAAGGCTGAAGTTGGACAATACGTAGTTTGTTGCGATGATGAGTCTCGATACGAGAGAGAATAGATGATAACCTGGTTGCCTGTATAATAAAAGAAAGAATACTAATGTAAATTTTTGTTCACGCCTAATGAAAACTAACCACATCGATCAAGGGCTACCGACCGCCAGATTTGGGTATTTTAGCTCTTGTAAAAACGCCTGAAAAGCAATAAAACTACAGATTTGTAGCTAACAATTATTAAAGAAGACACCCAGTCTAAAAATACCAAGGTTTAATCCACGTTATAGGCGATTAAACAGCCCCTATCCGGCGGTATAAATGCATAATACTGTAGTTTGTTTGTCTCATAATAATATATGGTAGTACGAATACCTGGTCAATCCAATAGAGAAATTTAGCAAACACGACGTGGCGTCTAAGACGTCGCCGTTTTAGCGCGAGCGATCTGGGACTAGGACGCCACCACGTCGTAAACTATTTGTGATTTAGCAAGAGGTTGATATACGCGTTTAGTCGGTTTGGAATATTCCTTTGGAACTTTTTATTCACAACTTTGGAATATGTATTTATCAGGTGAGTTTCTTCATCTTTTTTAGATCTAGATTAAGACATGAAATAGAAAGGTTGCTCTCAGGGTGAAGGCAATAGATTATTTTCAACTTCGAATGCTCAAAGACGGTTGTTTAATTTTCAAACTCAAATTTCGCGAATATCACGTATGTTTTATTGCAGTGAAAATCGCAGTCAAAAATTGCTTTAATATTTGTAGAATGTCTGGCTATGGTTTGCAAAGCTTTCGCGAATACTTAAATCTTGCTTACATTAACGACTTGGTGGACTTTGACGATTTTATTTTTTGCATATCGCAAACCAATCAAAATCAATTTATCCGTATTGGAAATTTGATGAGTTTAATTTGGAGAATCTAGATGACACACAGTGTCATACAGAATTGCGCTTCAAAGAGTGATATCCCAATCCTCTTAAATTGCCTCAACATCCCCGAAAAATTGTTTGCTGCCAAAGAACAACATGCACTGGTTTGGAAGGTTTGTGCATCCTTTTGAAGAGATTGGCTTATCCTTGTCGGTATACAGATATGGTTGGCATGTTTGGACGAAACCTGCCTTAAAATTTGCCTTATTTTCAACACGGTACTAAATTTTGTGTATAACACACATCATCATCGCCTTGAAAGCTGGGAGCAACCATTTCTATCACCTGAAAATCTTTCTGCTTATGCTGATAGCATTCATACCCATGGGTCCCCACTTCCAAACTGTTTCGGATTTGTTGATGGAACAGT